TGACTTTGTCTGGACTGTTCCACTTGTTTTGAACTCGGGTTTCACGATCTCGACAAAATATTGTTCCGAGTGATTGCAACCGTTGCTCGAGATGCTGATGCCCTTAATGCTGAAGCGGACGCACTTGGTGCTGCAAATATTTTGACGCTGATGTTGGTGAAATCCCAACCCGTGACCCTCTGCGAAGATGAAATGGCAAGTGAACAATATTGAACAATGCTACTCAGCAATCAATGGGCGCAACGTCTCCAGGCTTTTGCGCGCTCAAACCTTTCACGCGGAAACAAATTTAGATTGCGAGATTCTAGGGGTTCCAACTCGCCCCCGCCGGCAACACCGGTCTCCTCCACGATAGTGTCCGCCAGGCCGGATTGACATTCTATGCCGTCTTCTCATGGAAGGGCGTTTTGATTCAAAAGTTTGATGGACCCGCGGAAGTATGCCTGGCAGGTTTTATTTTTTGTTGGCCACCCCTTTTTTCAGCAAGTACTCCCAGCGCTGATTGATCTGATCAGGTCGAAGCTCGTATACGTAGAGCTGGACGAAGAGATAGTGCAAGAGTCAGGACATTTTTTTGAAAATTTTCCACCGTGCCCCTGTGGATACCACAAGTACAAGCATTTCCCTAACGCCCACTTCTGTTAATGATATACATGGATATGTTCCGCCAATAAGGATCCACAGGCTCAAGATTAGGTCAGGAGGAGCAAAGGTTCGAAAGCCATGGCAGAGAGGGGAAGAGACAAAAGTCGAACGCCAAAGGAGACAAAGGAAAAAGAGAAGAAGGAAAAAGACAAAGGAAGAGAGGCAAAGGCAAAAGACAAGGAGAAAAGAAAAGAAGAAGATGAGGCTTTGAAGAAGGCATTGGTTTTCTCGCCAGAAACACCGCAGACACAACTTAAGAAGACAAGATTCCAAGACGATACAGAAGCTCCAAAGGAACATCAACTAGTTGTGAGAAAGGAGAAGGATGAATCGGCAAGCTCATCAAACAGGCAGCGAGCACCAGCCATGAAGCTGACAACAGAAAGACTTGAACAAATGACAGTCAATTCACCAGTGAGAGAGGATGGCACCAAAACACCTTTGAAAATTCCGCCACAACCGCAAAGAACCAGAAATACGAGTTCAGCACTGAGTTCAGGAACAGAGGATTCGGAGTTGGAGAACACAGAAGCAAAAGAAGAGGAGAAGAAAGATCCAGCCAAAATGACCCTGGATGAGATGAAGGCTGAATTGACCAGATTGAGGAGACACAGAGAAGATCAGGACAACACACTCTCCATGAAATTGGTGAGTCATTGAAAGAAATATAAGAAACCACATACGATGTAGAATCTCATGCCAGGATCAATGCCCACTTGTTGTTCAAACAACTACAGCAGGACGCGAGGTTGTTCACGTTTTGACCAACAGACCACCGGGAACAAAAGCTGTCGTCATGGCGCAGTATTCATTTTGGTTTCGTTTGCCTAACCCAGGAGTGTGTTTGAACGACATAACAACGAACGTCATCCCACAACGAGAGCTATCCGACAGGCATGTGCTTGACACGTACTGGAGCGGGGATTGGCCTGTTAAGAAGTTTGCCTTTGGATTGGGGAGGCGACAGTTTGCACGCCGACCAGAATTATCGAGGATTTTTGGTCCCATTGCTCTGGCGGGCCGTGGGTTTGTAGTAGTTTACACATTGCTATAGTTTGGTTAAATAGAGACGTCCTTTGAACCAAATGAAGGCTTCAAGCGGTCACCTTTGGCTGTAGTCTGCTAGGGGGCTGTGGCAACATGGCTGATTCCTGCTAGGCGTCGTCAGTTAGTATAATTTTCTTTTGTGGCGCTAATTTAAGGCAATTTTTTGTGCATATCTCATGAGATCGACCCCCGGGTTTTTTGCCCTCTACGGTGGCTTAATATGGTTTAATGGTTTAATGCCCCATGCTCAGGTGTTGAGTTTGACAAAATCAGCCCTGCGTTAGCGGGACATACTTCCAAATGTTGGCCGGGAGTCTGCGAGAGTTTTGCTTAGCGTGTCGGGGAGATTGTGGTAATAAGAAATATATGTTGACAAGCAAGGCAGGGATGTCGAAAAAAAAACGGAGCTAAGACATGAATGTCTGATATGTTAGAAAAATATGCAAATAATTGCATCACCTTGAAGAGCTTTGCACATGTACTGCGGGAACCTGTTGCCAAAGTGTTTGAGGGATGCTGCAAGCAATTGAACCAATCATCCGCCTAAAGCCTAAGATGGCCGAATGAAAACATGTTGTCTCACAATGTCAAGTCGTTCACAACAAAAGTTTCGGACGCTTCTGAAGATTTCCCACCAACTGCTTGATAGGTTGGGTGGGTTAGTGGTTAAGCTATCTGGAGGAAACAAAACCTACCTCAGCTGTTTGACCCTGTGAACCTGCAAGCAATGTGCAAGCCACCAAAATGGGAAGTTCATTGTCGTCGGCCCCGTGTGCGAAATCAGATTTTGCTGTTAGAATGAAATGACAAGAGTGAAATCCTTTGCCGTGCAAGCAACAAGTTGTAACAATGCAGAACACCACTGCCGCAGTCTTGTGGGACGTTACTACTTCGGGCTGATACATAAACCTCACAATACTGCAAACATCTGCAAACCAGTGCATGGATATGCGACACTGCGACCTGAGCGACCAAGAGAAGAATGGCGGCAAGGTGTTGGAAGTTTGCTAATTCTAAATACAGACTTCGAAACTTGCTTGCGACTCCAACGCAACATCTTGGGCGGAAGCAGACAAAATACACAACATCAAAAGATGCCGGTGCTAAAGCGCATATGGATACGCAAAGCTACATCAGGAGGAAAAACGGATTGTCAAGAGTTCGAATGTTCCATCGCGTTGATTAAGACAAGCAACTGGGAAACACCAAACTGAAACGTAGTCACTACGTAGTCACCTTGTAACGCTTGTAACGTTTGTGAGGCGTGTGAAGATTGCGAGGCTTTGTAGCTGCGAAATCGCGTCGGCGCCTTCCGGCAAGAAACATCGGTAATCCGCATGATGCTGATCCAAATCTTGCAATGCCATACACTGTCAACTCGATGTCAACTCGATTGGCTCCAGGGCCATGCGCGACATTGCTTTAAAAACACCTGACAAAATGTGTGCAAAGCATGTTCTTGTTGAATGTTTTTGCAACACATTCGCACTAAGTACGTTTGCACGGAGCATGCTTCCCAACTAAGGTACGGTGCGCACGGAAACACAGAGCACAAGAAGCGTTTCCGAAGAAGAGAAAACAACAACACACCACTGCGGCCACTGCGGGAAAGCAATTTGCCCAAACAGTCATGCCCTGTCGTGGGATATCATATACCAAATCAAATCATATCATATCATGCAATATCATATCATATCATCTAATATCATGTCATGTCATGTCATGTCATGTCATGTCATGTCATGTCATGTCATCATAAATCATCCTAGATCATCATAGATAATCATATATCGTCGTCATCATCGTCGTCGTCGTCGTCGTCGTCCTCCTCCTCCTCATCATCATCACTATCAGCAAATCAGATCAGATCAGATCAGATTGTGTCATGATACGTCAGGAATGCTTGGATATGACCCAAAATGTTCGCATAAAACAAGATGGCACGCCACTCATGTCTGTTTTTTGCCTATGATTTTTCGCCACGCAGTGCACTGAAATTCAATCCCAGTGACGAGATATGACGAGATTCTCATTTGGCTCTCGCAAAAAGGCCACCATGGGACAGGAAAATGAGCTTGGACCAGGAAGGCTTCGTCCGCAGGACTCAACACATTAGCCCAATAAGGTATCTTGAGGTCACAACGTGTGAACAAATAGATACAAAATGATACGAATAAATACAAATAAAACATCTGAATAGGATTTTTTTGTGGCAAGCGCATGTGCTGCTGGATGAGCCTTGTCGCACCATGCCGTGCTACGTTGCAGGCACAGAGCGGTCGCACCATGCACCAGCCCAGAGCACATTCTGACCCGAGCATTCCGAGCATTCCGAGCGCTGCGGCATAGCTAAAAATGCTAAAACAATCGGTCATCCACGGGTCATCCCGGTCATCCCTTCGATAACGACCCGACAGGCCCGACAGGCCCGACAACAAGAAATCCATAGAACTCCGGATCGAAAATGGATCGAAAGGTCGCAGTTTACCGTTGTGAGCTCCGAGCGGCCTTGAAGTTGTTCATTGTTTTTCTAGTTTCTAAATGTTTCTAAAGCCATGGACATTTTACACTTGCCGCCCCTTCGAGTGGATGTGGAACGCCCGCTTCAGTTCCCGTGGGGGAAACCTTTCAAGTTCAACATCGTCTTGTGCGTTTGGACAACGCAGAATCAAAATGAATCAAGGTTTTCATCTGATGAATCTGATGATCGCTTTGCATGTTGCATCATTTTGGGATCGACGGTTAGTGACGGTCAGTCTCGTCATGAGCATTCGAAGCTCTGCCGGGCCGGACAGTTGGCCAAGTTGGCCAAGTTGGCCACGGCCAACGACGGACTTTGTTCGTTGAGGTTACGACGGTTACGTGGTCGCGCGCAGTGTCTCTGTGGAACTCGGTGGCTCTGACGGATTCCCACCGGGTTTTGCACTCTACTCTGAGTAGGTCACGAAACAGGGTGACAAAATTTGTGCGGGTTCCGGGTTCCGGGTTCCAATGTGTACGTGAATACTGAAGAATGCTGGTAGCTCGAATACAGTGGTGTATTGAGAGGCATTGCGCAGTCTCCCAGCACATCCCAGCACTGTTTTTTTTCGCTGGGACAGCTCACAGAGTCTGTTGACAGTCGCACTCAGCGTCTGAACTTTCCTAGACTTCTACATCGCCAAAAGCTGCGCCACATGATATGGATGTCTTTCTGAATCAAGCAATTGTCTACCAAGATCTACCAAGCACATTGCTGGAAGAAAAGACAGCTGTGTAGATATGTGTGGGGTTATGTAAATACCGCTGTCATGATGCTTGTCAAGCTACCTGTCTGTTTCGCAGCAAATTGCATTTGTGACACCGGCAGACAGCTTGATATCCAACATCTCAGCTTCTCAGCCACCCAGTCAATCTCAGTCTGGCAGATTCATCTCATTTGTGTCCTGCACAGGGGTTCCAACGAACAGCAACATGATATCAGGGTAATATGTAAATAAAGCTTGATATCAAGAAATAAGCATAGAAAGGAATTGAAAGAGATATTGAGCATCAAGACATTCGGCGACTCAGCGATACTCTGAGATAAACTGTATATGTTGGATGTGATACACTCCATTTTGAGAAGGAAGAAGTAAGCATCACACTGCATGTGTTCCTGTCCTAAGAAAATTTATGCAACTCAACCATTGATCCAGGTTTGCAAAGTCTTTGACGTGCTATCAAGTGACTTTGAAAGCTACGCAAATCAGCTCCAGACTTTCCAGACTTTGCCTTTCTATTCCTCACCGAAGTAATACGTTTTCAAACATGTCCAAGTTGCAACCACAGAAGGCAACTCTGCAGCCGCAACCCTGCAGCCCTGCGCGACCGGAGCGGTCCGCATTTTGCAGCACTTCTGTGAAGAGTTGGTTCATCTGTTGAACCACCAAATTCAGGTCCTCCCAGGGGTCCCAGCAAAATGCAAAAGATACGCAAAAGCAGTTGACAAATGTGAACCACTTTGCACTGATCTTTAGTGATCTGCAGAGACCTTTGGTGCAGAGACACGTATCAAAAAAAAATAAAAATGCATCAAAAAAAAATATCCAGCACGCATCAAAAAAAAAATAAAAATGCATCAAAAAAAAAATATCCAGATGCCACTGTGTGAGACCTCCTGAGTCTCGTGCTGCAAACCTAGATAAAAAAAAAATATCCGTATCAAAAAAAAAATATAGTAGTAGCAGCAGCAGCAGCAGGAGTAGTAGTAGTAGTAGTAGTAGTAATAGTAGTAGTAGCAGCAGTAGCAGTAGCAGTAGCAGTGGCAGTAGCAGTAGCAGTAGCAGTAGCAGTAGCAGCAGCAGCAGCAGCAGTAGTAGTTGTAGTAGCAGTAGTAGTAGTAGTAGCAGTAGTAGTAGTAATAGTAGTAGTAGTAATAATAGTAGTAGTAGCAGTAGCAGTAGCAGTAGCAGTAGCAGTGGCAGTAGCAGCAGCAGTAGTAGCAGCAGCAGCAATAGTGGTTGTAATGGTCGTAGTAGTAGTGGTAGTAGTGGTACTAGTAGTGGTAGTAGTAGTGGTAGTAGTAGTGGTAGTAGTAGTGGTAGTAGTAGTGGTAGTAGTAGTAGTAGTAGTAGATGTGGTTGTCGTCGTAAGAATAACAATAGTCGCAGGGGTAGCAGTAGCAGTAGCAGTAGTAGTAGCAGTAGCAGTAGCAGTAGTAGTAGCAGCAGCAGTAGTTAGTAGTAGTAATAGTAGTAGTAGAAGTAGTAGCAATAGTAATAGTAATTAATAGTAATAGTAATAGTAATAGCAATAGTAATAGCAATAGAGATAGTAGTACTCGTCGTCGCAGTAGTAGTAGTCGTCAAAAAGGAAATGCTAATAAAAAAAAAGCGGGTGGGGGGCGCAGGGGGGAGGGCGCAGCGCTTCCCCCCGCAATGCGTACCAAGAAAGAAGCACATAGGCACATGTCTCGATGGATATCAATAAAGTTGAAATGAGCCCAAGGAAAGGATGATGCTTATGAAAAAGCAAAAGAATAGTAGGTACAGATGGGAGCCGGTTAAATGGGAGCCGGTTAAAAAAATAAAAGCGGGTGGGGGGGTGCAGGGGGGAGGGCGCAGCGCCCGCCCCCGCAATGCGTACCAAGAAAGAAGCACATAGGCACATGTCTCGATGGACATCAATCTTCCTTCCTTCCTTCGTTCCTTCCTTCCTTCCTTACGATTTTTTTATCCTAATATTATTTTGTTTTGATCCTAATGATATATTTTTGATCCTAATAATATTTTTGTTGCTCTAGATGCCTCCTTTACTTCCTTCCTTCCTTCCTTCCCTTTAGGTTGAATATTTTTTTATTGCAATAATAGTTTTGTTTGATAACAACTGTTTTTGATTGCATGTGCAAAGAGAAAGAGAATCAAGAGCCGTAGGATCCATAGATGCGAAAAGCCTCAGGAGCCGAAGGAGCCATAGGAGCCGAAGAAGCCAGAGGAGCCGGAGGAGCCATGCACCAAAGGAGCTAAAAGACAAGCAGCCAGAAGCCAAAGCCAAAAGCCAAGAAGCCACGAAGCCACCAGGAGCCACCAGGGACACAGGAGCCGAAGGAGCCACAGAAGCCAGGAGCCACCAGGAACCAAGGAGAAAAAAAAACAACAAATTAAATGCCCCTCCGACTTCTAATGTTTAAAGGATAACAAGTACATCTAAGAAATGTATAGAAATGTTATCTTTGGGTTCAAAACAAAATGTTAGCGCATGATTCATGTATTTTTTGGTATGTTTTGGAAACACATCTATGTGGTTCTGACTTGCATCTCAGCTCAATATTTCTGCAACGGGTTCCGAACGAGGCCAAAAACGATGCCAAAACGAGGCCAGAAAATAGCTTTGGAAACCCCTTAACTCTAGCAGCTCAGCAGCACTTTGCACGCTGCCCGTGGTGGCCCCTCCTTCCCTCCTTCCCTCCTTCCTTCCTCCCCTCTTTTCCTCCTTCCTTCCTTCCTCCTTGCCTCCTTCCTTCCCTTCTTCCTTCCTTCCCTCCTTCCTTCCCTCCTTCCCTCCTTCCTTCCCTCCTTTCCTCCTTCCTTCCTTCCTTCCTTCCCTCCTTTCCTCCTTCCTTCCTTCCTTCCTTCCCTCCTTCCCTCCTTCCCTCCTTCCTTCCTTCCCTCCTTCCCTCCTTCCCTCCTTCCCTCCTTCCCTCCTTCCTTCCCTCCGTCCCTCCCTCCCTCCCTCCTTCCTTCCTTCCTTCCTTCCTTCCTTCCCTCCGTCCGTCCGTCCGTCCTTCCTTCCTTCCTTCCTTCCTTCCTTTCCTCCTGTATGGTCATTTATTTTTTTTTTGATGCATTTATATGTTTTTTTTGATGCATTTTTATTTTTTTTTTGATGCGTCTCCCTTTGGTGCAGGGTCCCAGGCTGATACCATTCACTTTTCACTGGCCAGCATTGCATTCTCCCTCCATTTCCACATTCCTTCCATATCCATCACTTCTCTACGTGCCATCCCAATCGGTCCCCCAGCTTGGCACCAAGGCGACCCCAGGCACGGTCAAAGTCATCTGGCCCGACCTGGGTCAATCTGACTGCTCTGAAACTTCTGCACAGTGCTCTGCAAAGCACAAGCTCCTCTCCAAGTCTGGGAAAGTTCAATGCTGACTAAATGATGTGCGTCAAAACGAAAAGAATTAGAGCGGAAAGAAGCTGAAGAAACGGAACGGAAGGATATGGGATAGGATGGGATCACTTGTGCATGTGGCAACAAGACAGCTGAGACTTGCTATGTCTTCAAGTCACAACTGCTAAATCCAATTTATGTAATATAATATTATATTATATTATATATATATTATGTTATATAAACCTGGATATTCATTGGTTACAAATTGCTGTCCAGGGCAGATTTGGGTTTGATTTCCGTCCATTTTTTAGTTTTGTCCACTTCAATACAAAAGTTACCATTTCAAAAAACATATGACCGCTTCATGTTTTCATTTTTCAGTCATGTTGAGTCTGCCCGGGTATTTATGCCCTTTTTCCAGGAATGTCCGCCCAGAAAAATCGACAATTTTTTGGGCAAAGTAAGGTAAGATCAGCTCAAAAGGTGCCAAATACAAAATTGACCACAGTGGTCAAAAAATGACCATTTCCATGTCCTTCACAAGAAATCCGCCCCAAGGTCAGAAATCTTGCAAGAAATCTTGCAAACGGACAATTATGTGTGTCGTTGCGAAGATCCAGGTATAATATATATATATAATTATATATATAATAATGTATAGCATTATATAGCCAATCAATGCCAATCATTAGCAATCTTGGCCTCAAGCTCCAATGCTAACCAGACCTTCTCTAAGCTTGTCCTGCCAATCTCATCTGCCCAAATGCGGAAAGAAAACATAGAATTGGATCTTCTTTCGAAAATGTGGACCAAGTAAACTTAGACCCACTGGCCATCACACCCCTCTCAGACTGAATCGCTTGGGAGTCACTCGAAATGTCACAAGTTTCACAGTCACTTGAACTGCTGGAAAAAAAAAAAACTATCAAGCATGCCGACATATGCCTAAGATCATGGATCAAACATGCTAACAATCATGGAATGCTTGAACGATCTAGGTCAGCCAAAGCGAAACAGGTCAGGTCGGCAAGCTTTTTTCTGGGATCTACTGGGACATCATCATCAAGACGTTTTGGAGCATTCTCAGCACGCAGATCTGCACCTGGGCAGATGTCCGGGAAATTTCTTCTTTGTTCTGGGTCCTCTTCGTCTACCTCCAGGCCCTCTAGGGCCCTCTAGGCAAAGCACGCAATCTAGTTGATGTTTGTCCATCTTGTTCCAACTGTGTCATCATGTTTTGTTGCAGCTGTGTTCTTCAAGCACTGGTGACCGGGAACCCCACCAAGAAAAATAGAAACCATTAGAAACCAGAACCATCAGAACCCAAGAGAAACCTTTTTTCGAAAAAACAAACGATGTTGTTGATCAAATCTCAGGATGTACTCCAATTCTAGGCACCGCCCAAGAACTTCTTGTCCTTGGCGACATCTGTGCACTGACCTACGCAACTCTCGGAATATCGAGGCACAAAACACTACACATAGAATGCACGGGCAGTGTCAAGTTGTATCATGTTGTGTCCAATAGGTGCAAGTGATGGCAAGTGCATCTCTCAACCCATGGGCTACAATGACAACAGCATCGTCAAGATTGTACGAGATGGTGCAAGATTCAAGATGCTCAAACAGCGCGTCTCATGCTATCCCCAACTTCAGTCTGTGTCTGCAGGCAGTCACAGTGGTTTGTCATGCTTTGTCGTGTCTGCTGCATTTGGTTGTGTCTTGTCATAGACATTGCTCAAATGCCATTGTAGAGATGGCGACCGGCGTTCCCAAATCATCGCGATCGTTCAACATACTTTAAAAACAAGGCAAACAGAAACATATCTATATTATTCTACATTGTTATATTATCTTATCAAACCGTTTCACTATCCTCTTCCGGCATCTTCCAGCCCGCAGACCCACCCAGAGGCAGAGAGTCTGCCTTGCTGACAACCTGGGATCTTCATGAACTCCTCCCAGTCGTACGCCTCGAAAAACGGAATCTTTCACATGGCAGAAGGTGGCAAAAACCATGCCACCCAAAGAAATACAAATACAAATAGATGTACAAAATATAATTGCGAAGTGGATGCGTTTCAGGGCTGTGTCAGGAAAACTTGGACGAAAGCAAGTGAAGAACACAGTCCTTACATGTCCAAGTTTTCCTTACACTTGCGGAGTCACTTTGGTCTTTGGAAACGACGAAGCTGCACCTTTTTGTCATGGCAACATGCCCAATACTTCGCCGTCTCATGGAAAACGGGCGGCAATTTGTGGTGTGTGCACCTTGGTCTTGCCAAATGTTGCCAAATGTACAATGTACAGAAAACCACGATGTAGTGTATTTGGCAGTATTTGGTGTAAATATGTAAAGATGAAATTAAGGTCAAACACACAAGTAGATGAATGCATGAGGACAGGAAAAGAATGTAGACATAATGTAGATGACAAAAAAGTTCTGCGAATCGACTTGAAAACACCATGGGCTTCTGGCTTCGTTTGCTCCGGATATCTCGGATCAAAGTACCTCACAAATCTCATGCTATCTCATGCTATTCTAAATCTTTGAAAAGTTGCTATAATTGGCCAAGTTCAGATTCTTGCAAGACAAAGATAGCAAGAACATGCAATCTGGATTGCCATCGAACCACCAAGAAGCAAATACTTCTCGGACGCTAAAGATCATTCAGATCATGCTTGTGCCCTCTGAGTGCTCTGCTTATTGCATCCAAAGTTTTTGCATCGGACATGCTCAGGCGGTCTTGGCACAACATCTTCGCGGCCTAGAATTCAACACTCAGAACTCGCGAAACCAAAAACGACCCAGGACTTTGAGCGCCATCCTTTTCTGATTTCGTTTTTTGTGGATACTTTTCCCCAGAACTTGCATTGACTCGGCGTTGCCAAATAATGCATTGCATTTGACATGGAGCTTTGATGAGCTTTGCATCATTCCAGCTGCAACATGAACAAATTATCGGCCTGCCATGGCAACCGCTCAGATATGGGGTGCCCCGCATGCACCCGGTCGCTGAGCCACCAGTGTGACAAAAAATGGTCATGGCACGACCCGGGGTCGACTCTAAATACTCGCTGTTCCAAAGGAAGCACACGAAGCAACTCATTCGCTGAACATTGAACTACTGTGTCAGCCATGAACTCTCTATAGCGCTATAATCAAGTCACTGTGGCAAGCCATAAATCCACCACTAGTCAACGCACTTGTCAACTCCCTGGATGAACAACAAATTAACTTGTGACCTCACAAATCAGGAAGGACTGCTGTGGGGCAAGGCGACAGAAACGCACTAATATTCCCTTTCATTCCCTTTCTTCCAGTGCCTTACAGAAGGAAACATGAAAGGCAGGAAGAGAAAAAGGCGACGCACATGCATCGAACACCACGTGCTTTTTTGTCAGCGACAGGGCCATGCCAACCTAGTCTCTCTCTATCTCTCTACAGGCTTGGAAGATCGATGAAGTCATCGACATGTGTTGATGCGCTGTTTCAGCTGCCAAGATGTGCAAAACATATGAGATGATAAAATGTGATGTTCAATGTAATGTCGAATAATGCATTGAATAAGATTGGTATTTTTATTGATGCTTTGATCTGAGTTCATATCCTTTTAAGAGTCACTCCCATATTGCGCAGTTGAAACAGCTTTGTGTTCGTCCGAGATTGCATTCACGCTTCAGATCGCTTCAGTACAGAGGCTTAATCGGAGTTTCTGCCCAGTATGGTTTCACCCGCGCCTGAGCATATGCTGAGCTTTAGAAGCGGCTAAAATATCCTGCCTGTTGAAATCACTGCCTCATTCCAAAGTTTGTTCACGCTTGTATGCTTGTGATATTGGTTTTACATGATCTAAACATGATCTAAACATTGCTGTGTCCCAGCTCCAAAAAAGAGGGCCAGCTGTGTCCCACGCCCTGCCTGAACTGCAACCATGCCTTTGATGGCCTCTTCTCCTGGCACAAAATGCAACACATGCCGTGCCACATGCCCACACGTGTCTTCTGCATGCACTTTTTGCCACATGAGGTGCAAAGAGCATTTGAAGTTAAAAGCATGACGAAGCATGTAAAAAAAAAATAGAAAAAAAACTGGAAGAAGCATGTGAAACGCATGTAAAATGCATGCGAAAAGCATGTAAAAGCATACAACAAAAAAATACCAAGAAAGAACATGTAAAAGAATACAAGAAAAAAACATTGCGCATAGAGAGAATGCAATATATGCAATATATAGAGAGAGAACGCATCTAAAAATGCATCTAAAAATGCATCTAAAAAATGCATCTAAAAAATGTTTTAAAAAACATGCAAAAAAGAACATGTAAGTTAAAAGCGTGTAATTTAAAAGCATGTAGAAAGCGTTCAAAAGGCATGTAAAAGCCATGTAAAAAGGCATGTAAAAGCCATGTAAAAAGGCATGTAAAAAATCATGTAAAATGCATGTAAAAAGCATGTAAAAAACATGTAAAAAAACATATAAAAAACATGTCTTGAAAAAAATGGTGTAAAGCTATAGAAATAGAAACATGTAAGAAAGGAGCAATGGTTGTCCTACCACAGCCACAGCATGCCACAGTTTTCCAATCCCATTTCTCTCCTATTCGGATGTCTGCAAGTTCGCCACCTGTGTACTCCAACCTTTCGAGTGTCACTGTTTCAGCACTGTCATTGTAATCATCACACATGCATGCCACATCATGCCATACCTTCATTGTTCTGTGTTTGCTACTATTTTCCTTTGGGACTGTTCTTTGCTTCAGACACATCTTACCACACATCTCATCAAGTCAGGATTGCATCGTTGTACTGTTGCCAAACGTGCGCCAAACGTTTTTGCCAAGCTGCAACTTTCGTGTCAAGGGCTGATTGCTGACGTTCTGGGCCAGGCGTTTGGCACGGCCAGCTGCGATGGGGGCACAAAGCCTCAGGGAAAAAAAAAAACACAAATGGCAAAAAAAAATTCAAGAAATTCAAGAATGGCAAAAAGGGCAAGAAGGGCAAGACTTTCAAATTGACTCAAATCCATCTTCAAGTTTCTTCAAGCTGTCCAGGACTGAGGACCGTGACAGGAGAAGAAATGCCACCAAACAAATCAAAGAAAAAGACATAAAGCGACAACTGGAAAAGGAATGTTGCAAGCTAAAAAAATTCAAATGAACAGCCTGCTGGCTGATTAGAATGATTAGAACAAACCTGAGAAGGGGGGGACGAAAGCCAGCCCCTAGCCGGATTTTTTGGGTTCTGCAAAGAAATGTCGCGTTAGCGCCCATTTTTGTCTGGCCTTCCTCCATTTTTGTTACTTCCAGCAACAAGAAGTCTTTTTAAAGCACATTATCTATATTTATATATATATATATGTATATATATATATATGTATGACACAACTTGCCTGCATGTTCCTTTTTTTTCACACTTGTCCTTGCTTTGCAACCCTTCGCCATTCCTTCCTCGGCATCAGTCCTCATCCCCTTGCAAACTGTCTTGCTCCGAACCGCAACGGACGCTGCTCTCCGTTGAGCTTCGGATTCTTAGTTTTGTCAATATGCTCGCCTCTGTATGTTCCTAGTTTGTTCAAAGCTTTGCCTTTCCTCCATTTCATGCCTTTTTTTCAAACCTTTTCCTGCGTTTTCCTACGGTTTTTCAAAAGTTTCCTTCCTGCAATTTCCTCATTTTCCCAAGGATTTCCTCAGTCTTCCTTGGGTTTTCCAAGTTTGCCATTCATTTTTTCCTCCATTTTCATCGTTTTTGCAACATTTTCCCCCATTTTCCCCCATTTTTTGCAACCCTTCGCCACTCCTTCCTCAGTATCACTCCTCATCCCCTTGCAAACTGTCTTGCTCCGAACCCCAACGGACGCTGCTCTCCGTTGAGCTTCGGATCCTTATTTTTTTCAATATGCTAGCCTCTATATCTTCCTAGCTTTTTCACAGCTTTGCCTTTCCTCCATTTCATGCCTTTTTTTCAAACCTTTTCCTGCGTTTTCCTACGGTTTTTCAAAAGTTTCCTTCCTGCAATTTCCTCATTTTCCCAAGGGTTTCCTCATTTTTCCTTGGGTTTTCCAAGTTTGCCATTCATTTTTTCCTCCATTTTCATGGTTTTTGCAACATTTTCCTCCATTTTCCCCCATTTTTTGCGACCCTTCGCCACTCCTTCCTCGGTATCACTCCTCATCCCCTTGCAAACTGTCTTGCTCCGAACCCCAACGGACGCTGCTCTCCGTTGAGCTTCGGATCCTTATTTTTTTCAATATGCTAGCCTCTATATCTTCCTAGCTTTTTCACAGCTTTGCCTTTCCTCCATTTCATGCCTTTTTTTCAAACCTTTTCCTGCGTTTTCCCAAGAGTTTCCTTCCTGCAATTTCCTCATTTTCCCAACGCTTTCCTCAGTTTTCCCACACTTTACACTCCACACTCCACACTTTACACTTTACACTCCCCACTCCACACTTTACACTCCACACTCCTCACTTTACACTCCGCACTCCACACTCCACACTCTACACTTTCCACTCCTCACTCCACACTCCACACTCCACACTCTACACTTTACACTCTACACTCCACACTCTACACTTTACACTCTATACTTTACACTTTACACTCCACACTCCACACTCCACACTCTACACTCCACACTCCACACTCCACACTCTACACTTTCCACTCCACACTCCACACTCCACACTCTACACTTTACACTCCACACTCCACACTCCACACTTGACACTTGACACTCCTCACGCCACACTCCACACTTTACACTCCACACTCCACACTTTACACTCCACACTCCTTACTTTACACTCCGCACTCCACACTCTACACTTTCCACTTCACACTCCACACTCTACACTTTACACTCCACACTCCACACTCTACACTCCACACTCTACACTTTCCACTTCACACTCCACACTCCTCACTTTACACTCCACACTCCACACTCCACACTCTACACTCCACACTCCACACTCTACACTCCACACTCCACACTCTACACTTTACACTCCACACTCCACACTCTACACGTTACACTCTACACTCTAGACTTTACACACTCTACACTCCCCACTCTACACTTTACACTCCACACTCCTTACTTTACACTCCACACTCCACACTCTACACTTTCCACTCCACACTCCACACTCTACACTTTCCACTCCACACTGCAGACTGGTAACAGGGGAAATATGTACAAGACTGTTCAAATAAACTATTGCAGAAAAGTGTTCTGCGTGACTGCATGTCCATGTGTTTCGACATCTTTACCATTAACATACGTGTGAGCATTCGGGTTTGTGGGCTGCATCTTGTTTCCTCGATTTTCATGGTTTTTGCAACATTTTCCTCCATTTTTTGCAACCCTTCACTCCTTCCTCGGCATCATTCCTCATCCCCTTGGAAACCGTCTTGCTCCGAACCCCATCGGACGCTGCTCTCCGTTGAGCTTCGGATGTGCTCGCCTCTATGCTCCTAGCTTTTTCAAAGCTTTGCCTTGCTTCCATTTCATACCTTGGATAACCCCACAAGGCAACTTCTTCCAATAATGAGCACCGTCACCAAATGTTGTAGCGGGGACGGGGAAGGAAGGAAAGACAAAAGAGGTGGTGGAGGATCGAGAAGTAAAACAAAGTTGTGTGTGTGACAAAGTTGTATGTGAAAGATGGTGTGTGACAAAGAAAGATGATGTGTGTGTGTGTGACAAAGTTGTGTGTGAAAGATGGTGTGTGTGTGTGTCTCATCTGGAAAGATGTAAAACTTCGATTCGTTTTTTTCCTAATTTGCAGGGGGGCAATCTCATGTTTGCAGCTGATTGCCCAGCGAAGAGGGCTGCATTCATGACTGATATGACTCCGGGACGCTGGAGTCACGTACCTGCCAACTGTTTCTGAAATGGGAAGAGGCTCAACCCAAGAACCTCCATGTCGTCCATTTGAAACTTCAATTTACTGCACTGTTGTCGAAATCTGGAATCAATTTTAGTCATTTACGATTAGTTAAGCTGCATCAGAACCTTCCTTAGTATTTTCGCCGAAACCATGTCGCCGACACTATTTTGATTTTTCTGGATTATTTCGCCGAAACCATGTCGCCGATGTATTTGGGGTATTCCTTCAAAACCACGTCGCCGATTTATTTTTGATGACGATCTTGGACATGGAAACCATTCAGGAGAACTTCTATTATTCGTAGGATGCATCGTTAATTTCTTTGTTTCATATCTAATCTGCATGTTTCAGGATTCAGTTCCTGCCGGATCATATAATGATCCATTCTTGTCTAGTGTGATTCCTATGGTGACTCCGACATGGTGCCATAGGGCCATTTGAGGCAACCCTGTTTAGGGTGAATGTCGACTGACCTGAATTCTGAATTCACACATTTTAACCTAGTAATTCGCTTAAGTAAAGTGCAACAGTCAGCCTTTCGGTTTGCACCTTTTTTCAAGTGTCCCGCTGCTCCTGCGGTCCCATGAGAACCTTGAGAGATGCATTCTTCCCTGGGATGCCGTACTGAACAACCACAAACCTCCGTTTTTGCAGCAACCTTTGCAGTTACACGACATCATGTCAAGACATTGTGAACAGGCAGGCCCACGACTTGCAGGCGTTTTATGCCCTCGTGGCTGACTGGAACACGGGCCTGGATTGGCACAACGCACGACCTTTAGGTTTAGGAACTGAATCCTGTGGTGAATCCTCTTGTGTGACTTTCCATTGTAGTTTTTCTCTACCTGAGCAATGTACCCGTGGACTACTCCTCCGACGTCATGGCCTACCCCGCCGCAGCCTGCGACTCCATCTTCGACGTGGCCACCGCAATCAGCTTCTATTGCATCTACACCCAGACCAACTATGACATGGCCAACGACAGCACCACCTCCGACCGCATCTCCTCAACCTCTATACCCTATGGAACCACAACAGTATTCGATCAATCCACCTCACATGCCCGGAACCACACCAACACCAGTCGAACATTTATTTGGACAACCTTCGCCATTGCATCCTACATGGTCTTCTTCGTCCTCACTCTTGCCGCCAGCTTCCACTACACCATCATTGTCATTCGCTTCCCTTGCCACAGCCCCTCATGCAGTGCCAGCTCCACACCTTGTGCCTACTACAACTACACCTTTGGGTCCTGACACACAACCATCGTGCACACCGCTCCACCAGCTTCACAACCCCAACGGCACCAACAGTTCCGACCACTTGGCATACTGCTCCAGCTCCTTCCCACGCATCGGCCACACCACCTACACCTCTACAGGGCTCACCTTACCCACCTCGTGTCCTTCATTCTCCACCGCTGGCCGCTACGACATCTACAGTTCCTCCAGCTGCACCTCATCACCCGGCAGTCAAGGCAGCCCCGAAGCTTCGATCTGAGAAGAAATCTGACAAACCACGCCGTTCAACTCCAAAGGCTACACCGGCTTCACTTCCCGCTACACCTCCAGAACCAACGACTGCACCTTCACCATCCATCCCACCAGAGCTGGCAACATTGGGTTCTACTACACAACAACTCGCAGAATCTGTTCGTCTCATTCAAGCTCAACAACAGATGATCCTTGACTCCCAGCGCGCTCAGGAACAACGACAACAACTCCTTCACCAAGATTTACCAGCAACCGGCCCTACACTTCCGATACCATCACCCACATCGACGCCACCTACACCAATGCCTCCACCTGCACCAAAAGCCAGAACCTGAAGCTCCCGATCGCAACAGTCTCGACTCCGCCAGCTCCCATCCCACATCCACCAACATCGCCACCACGCAGACCTCGATCCAGGACTCGAAGATCACGCTCTCGTCGATCACCTACACATTCCCATCGCCGACCACCTCTTCCTCACCGTGCGGTACGACCTCGTTCTCCTCTTCCTCGACATCGTTCCTCGACCAAACATGCCAAAGATCGCCCAACACCTTCCCCTTACACACGACGGTCACCACCCAGACGACGCTCACCAACAAGTCATCGACGTCATCGGTCTCATCCTCCGCCTCGCTCCAGAACTCCTCTTCGTCATTCTCGAGGCCGTGAAATTATATTACGACCAGCCGCACGTCTGTCGGATCCAAACTTCATCCCCACACCGGATGCTGATGACTCTTGGGGCGATTGGAACAACAGCCACTATTCAGCAGACCACCATCGTGGCACTGCTCGACCCAGATCCCCTGTGGGACCACCACCGCCTGACCCACCATCAAACCCACCAGCAGACACAACAGCACCACTTGGAGCCGTGGCCTTCCGTCTACCTGATGGTGACAGCGAAACCTCAGATGCAGCTGAAGCATTTTCAATTTCACAATTCGACAAAAATGATATCGAACTCAATGAACTTGTCGAGGCGGCCAATGATCCACACCGTGTACGATGCCTGACCGAACTGGACCCGGGTCATACAGTATCTCTCCGTACTACACTTGACCAGCCCACCAAACTTCTCTTCAACAATTTCGTGGACGAGATGTTCAACCAGTTGGCCCAGCCATATCGTACCATGAACAATGAACTCATATTCATCAAAGCAAGCCAGGCCACCGTCACAAACATTGCCAAAGCCTTCGCACAAGCCAGATTACTTGACATCAATTTGGCAAGGAGAACACGGGCCTTCTACGTGGAACCGGAGAACCTACTGACCATCACGGTGCCAACGGGGCTACCCAAAAAACCTATCTATCGGAGTGAACACGCGGGCACCTACCTGAGTTATCACAAAACGAGTTGGGAATCAGTTGCCAAAATCCTTGCTGAAGACTGCATTCGCCCGGCAACCTGGACAAGAAACGAAGCTGGCATTCCGACTCAATACCCATGTTACGGATTCTTCGGTATGTCCTCTGAGATCGCGGACATCGATGACTTACCAGCATATTCAGTCAAGCTGTGCACATCCCAGCTCTACCGCATAGGGAAAGGACAAAACCCATCTGGCCTACTGGCCATTTGTTGCTCCCCCAAATGCATGCGAGCCCAATCCGGAGGAAATGACCAGATTCAACGTTTGTGCAACTTACAAGGGATTGCCAAGGGCAAAGACGGCGCGACGGCCATGAACTCCAGTTGTGCATCAGTTTGCTACGTTGCTTCCACTCACTCGGTTTTTCAGGGGTTGATCACACACAATGCACCTGCTGCACGCACATCCACTGTTACAGCACCGAGTGAACTTCCGGACAACCCACCAGCTGATCGTGAACCACCAGCACCATCCAACCCCGCCACTGATCTACCTGCACCTTCCAACCCACCACCGGCCGATACCAGATCGACAACTACCCACTACGAGACCACAGATCACACAGCTCCAGATCACGATCGCCGGTATTGGAGCAACAACCCCTCTTGGCACGACTCGACGCACACCCATCGCGGCCGTCATTCATCGTACCGTGAAGACCGTTCTCGAGACCAACATCGCGAAGGCTATTCTCGATCCCGCACTTCAGCACACGACTACTCCAGATCGCGCTGGTAAGCACTACATCATTGCGGAGTACTTTGCAATCTGACGAGTACCCCAAGAAAGCGATCCAGTGAGCCTAGTGGCCCCGACCGATTCTTTTGGAGTAACAATGCTTCTCCCGACATTCGGTACTCACTGCCACTTCTTCCGTCAAAACGTATATGAACTGCTGCCTGCATATCGTCTCCGGTTCGGTTTCACCTTATGTTTCACACAAACCTGGTCGTGTCACATCATGTTTCACACATTTCAGGGCGTGTAGCCCTTCCGTATTACATTTTCACCCTCACCGCAATTTTCAGTTGGCTTATTGCTATTATTTTCGACCTAGTATTCCGTGGCTATTGTCTACATCATGGCGTCCCAAGACCTGATCTCTCAATTTAGCCAAGACTCGAATGCTATCCCTGCTTCACAACCCGATCGCTCGCGCACACCTCGACGACCTCAACATGTTTGGCATCAGACGGTACCGACGTTCCGTGGCCCTATGCATTATGCAATGACGACCCCTCGTCCCTTTTGGCATCCTGCTGGCATACCTCCTCCACCATCGATGACCTCATCGTTCTCAACACGCCCAACATGGACTCAGCCGACGCCGCCTTTCCCACCTACACCACCGACGTTTTCACAACAACCTCCCGACCACGCCAATCTTACACCTCAACGACATACTCTTACCCCGAGATCGCCGAGACCTATGTCATCATCTGGAGGAAGCTCTGCCATTCATGAAGGCTACACCTGTCGTCCTATTGAAATCCCGCCAGTGGAACAATGGAAACCTGACGTCGATTTCCATGACTCCAACAAGGTCAATGGATTGGATTTCCCCTCCCAAATCCGCCAAAGCCGATTCTCCAGCTATACAAAGACATTGAAGGTATGGATCCTTTGCAAGTCCCACTTTAGAAGTTCTTGTACCAAGGATTACACAACACATGGCTCCGCCGTGTTGTCTACGGCAGAGAAACCTTCGTCCTCCCCTTCGACAACATAGGCACCACAGTATTTGTTGCCGAATTAGTCTCGCAACTACGTACTCGGAATGTGGATTTGGACAAGTTAGCCACTTTCAGGTCCCGCTCTGCTGGCCAATGTGTGAACCAAAAGGAGGCTACCCAAAACATGGCCAAAGAGGTTGCTCAGCTGCTTCAATCTTGGCTTCCGGCTCAACCGTCCGCGGACGTTGCCAGTCAACAACGCATTCTTGAATTAGAAGCTGAACTGGCAAAGATGAAATCGGACAATGGCACGCCACCACCTACTGCACCGGAAGGTACTACACCGGCTACGACACCGATTGGACGCGCACTACAGGGACAACCAGCGGCTTCAACATCGTTCGATCCTTCGTCTCTATTGATCTCCCCGGGATCTGTCAATTCATGGCTTGTGGACAACCAACCTTCGTCGCTGACCGAGACCCAGTACAAGAAATGGTTGAAAGACTTGAAACTCCCTCAACACAAACAAGACACGTTGGAAAAGCAGTTGGAGAAAGTCAATGAATGGTGGCAAAACCAACCGGATGACGCCTCCAAAACCATCCAGAGAGCCAGTGTAGCGATGGGCATTGATCCGTGCAAACACAAGGGTGCAACGACTGATGAGATTGTCCTCAAGGTCATGACGGTGGCTTTGCTGATGCACTCCTGACTAGCTTCGTATTTGAAATCACCAGGCTCAAAAGCAGCCCGAATTATACGAACTCTGGCCGTGGCACATTCTTGTATTCTTGCTTTGGCTCTCTTGACTCCTTTCACCTTGTCCCCTTCTGTTGATGTCTTTTTTGCTTTTCGGATGATCCAAACTGCATTGATGGGCCAGTATGTGTTACTACATCCACGAGCCAATTCAAAACTGCAGGCCTTGTTGAAAGGCACTAAATGATGGTTTGTAGTGGTTCGATTGAAAAGGTCAATATATAACCAAGAAATAAATCCGAAATCCCGTTCAATCCCGTCCAAACATTGCAACTGGTCTACCTTGCATAATGCCACTAGGGCCAGTAATGGGCTGTATTTACGAGCGTAGTTCCTGGGGCGATGTATTATGAGATAAGATAATAGTGATACCATGTGCTTATGTTTCTTCCGCCCAGGTTTCCAGTCGATTCTCCCATCATTTCTCAGAGGGAACATGAGGGAACAAGCCATTTCGGAACAGCAAAAAACTTTAGAACCGTGGAAACTACGCAAGTTTTTTGATCGAGTAATTTAAGAAATGCATAGAAACATGCTGCCATTGTCAGACTCATATTGCCATATGGGCCGGTATGATTCAATACCATGTATCATCAAAATTGGCTTGTTTCACCAGGTGCGGTTCGGATGTTCACCAGGGGCACTAGGCTTACGAATGATTATGCACAGCCATATCCAAGGAAACACGATCATTAGCAAATGTTGAGCATATTCTCTGGTCTGTTCTCAGCAATCGGGTCCGTTCTCACAATCCCCCGGCAGAACTCTTCTGAGCACTGGCAGGGTTCATTTGGCTCCCCAACCAGCAGCTAGGCACAACACCCCGGGCCAGCTTGCAAAGGACAGCAAACATGTTTCAGGACAATAAAGGAAAACATTGATTATAGCAAGCACTAGTAACAACATGTAACAACCAAACCAGAGATATCAATTGCCACAATAGTAGGGGTACAGGTGGACATGGTGACATGATCGGTCATAAGCAAACACCACCGAAATTAGAGGATATAAATGTTTCAAACAAAATGACATGGGGTTGGTACCACCAAAAGTACTTAACGAACCGCGTCTTGGTCAATCAACATCCCTGCGGCTTCCACAGAAATGCTTGCTGAGCCCTGGACCATCTGTTTTTCACCATTGTCCAAGAGAACATGGTGCACCCACACCTGCTCCTCCAACGGTGCTGCTGATGCTGGTAGATGAGCAGGATGATGAGAGGAAGACGAAGACGTTGATGCCGACAATGATTATGATGTTTGCAATCACTGGCATTGAAGTAGGAATATCGCACCCAACATGTACTTATTAGATGTACTTGTTGTCTGTATCTGATACTGATACGTTTGTTGTGGTTTAGCAAGTTGCTGCTCAACTTCCTAGTCGATGTACAACCATCGCTCTAATCAGGGTATGTCCCTTGTCATATCCCAACCGGTATTCTGAGCATGTTTTCTGCAATGGAAAGCCCTACGTAAGATCAACATACCCCCAAATGGTATCCACAAACATTTCCCACACTCACCACGAATCATTTACAATCATTTGCTGCAGCGGACCGTCATTGAACCACCAGTCATAAACCGTTCGCCAGTATCAAAACTCATTTGCCATGAATCATAGTCTAAGAAGCCTCACTGGTGGATCAATATCCAGAAAATGACCATTAACAAATACTCACAAGCCGCCCACCATGCATTAAAAATCAAAAGTATCAATCAAACACCATGGTTACTAATCTCTGACAACCAACCCTCAATTCTACAACCATAAATCAAAATCATACATCATTGAGAATTGCTCTGGAATCATCAGGCTTGTTCAGAATCAGTGTACGCATCAGTCACTGACGACGAAGCGCGGCTCATTTGCTAATCAATATGCGTCTGTATAATCATGAGTTAATCCGTAAGCATGAACACTCATCACTGTCACCACAGCTCATACTCATTACTCCAATATTTTAGCAATAAAGAACCATCGATGACTAATAGCTCAAACATGGATCATTTGACATTGCAACCCACTTCACGATGCAAAACCCAGCGACAAATCCTTTCGAAGCTGAGGGGCAAAGTCTAATCATACTGTATCTATTGTACGGACAATCACCACCCATCATTGACAATGATGGCCTCTCCACCATCCCCGCCTTTGGCGAGAAGCCTTGCCCCAAGTTTTGCACCTGATCAATGGACAGCGGCAATCTCGGCAATGCCTGCAGCAGGCTGGTTGCATATGGTGAATCAATGAATCGTGAATAGTCAGCCAGGAGTTATCATCAACACTCGTGAATTGACCATGGCTTAATTGTTGCTTACCATCACAAAGAAATACTTAATCATTCATTCAACATTCTCTAACTACTAGCTAAGTGTTGATGGGCAACATCCTGCACCAGCTCGATACATGACCCCCATCAATAATGCAGGATCAACTTGGTATCAACGGGTATAGGAATTGTAAGATGATTAGTGAATCAACGATGACCTAGAGCCATTGGTAACAATATTCAACGCTTAATCCATCCATCAAGTTATCACAAGTCAACCAACCAAATTCATTGCTTTATATTCATCAATCAAGTTCACTACTGTTCATTACTGAAACCGCAGCCATGGGAGTCTTGCATTCAAACCAACCGCTTGCTTGGTGCTTTCTTAGGGCACAGGTATCAGTAACTGCGCTACTTCATTGCGAGCACAAACTTGATGGCATGCAGCCAGACAGCAGTCCACTTTTTGGGTGTGGCTGACGATTTCTGCTTTCATGCTGCCATCCATCATTTGAGAAAGTGGACGTCGTGGTGTTTCATTCAACACATGTTGGAACACTTGGAACTATGATCTTGGAACCATGATGGGCTTTCCACAAGTTCACCCAGGCCTGATTGGTGGTATTAATCATCACCAAAATATGCTGCTCAACCTCGATGATTATCCCATATCATCCCATATATTATGGAAAATGAAAACATCTCAACCGCCAACCGGAACCTGCGCGATGGAATCGGACTGATTCTTGGGCAAATGTCAGGCATCAATTCACAGCCGCCTCCAAGTTTTGGAAGGCGCAGCTTGCTTGGAATGAACCATCCATGACCGCAGGACCTCAGATCTGAGGGAAGAAGCTGGGATGTTTGGTCAATCATCACCGCATATCACCGCTGCTTATCAATCATTCTTTCTGATCATTTCTGATCATTTCTGACAATTTCTCATTATTTCTCATGATTTCTGGCTATTGTTGATGATTCATGATTCTTGAAGATTGTTGATGGCTGTTGGTGCTTGTTGATGATTCTTGATTATTGTTATTGATGATTATCAACCATTGGTTGGTCCAACTACTACGAAGTAATCCAATGATAACTCAACCAACAGAAGGGTCGTTGATGTTGAGAACAGCTTGAGATCCACCAAATCCAAGTCAACACTTTTCCATGGCCATAGCCACGGAACCGAAAGCGGAGCCGGCATTGGCGCCGTCTTCTTGCACTGCCGCGCAGGCAATGGTCTCATCCTGCAAAAGTTGTCCCCAACTTCACTTTTGGGAGGAAGCTGGGTGAGCAGTTTATTTCCAATGGATGGATAAGAACTACAGTTTTGCTCTGACCGTAATAGTCGGTGATTGTTATGTGATTCGCGACATGCTCAAAACGGATGTCATGATGCTTGTGGATGGCTTAAGAAGTGACTGGTTCTAGGTGAACTCGGGACACGATCCATAAAAACAAAGGGGGTCCGGGTTTTTAAACAATCCCAAATGACTTTGAGACAAAATGTCGGAGCAAGAAACGGCTATGCTGGCTACGTTCGTTCACTTATAGGTAACATAAGTAAGATAGATACTTGCTTGCAGATTGTGTAATATATGCTTGCATGTATATATCATCTGTGTAATACAGATTGTGTTACCAGATCATGTTGAGCAACGAGGCAGGCTACTCGTGGCGCCTCGGCAGCGAAGATCTCCTCCACTGGAGGCTCCTTTGGAAACAAGCCACCGCCATAAACAAAAGGCGGCACATCCAAGCCATCCTCATCAAAGTGGCCACAGGCATCCACTTCCAGCACATCTTTCAAAGCCAGCCTGGGGCAGAAAGGCACGTCTATGTTGCCCGTGACAAACTGCCACCCGCCTTGACATTGACGTCGTAGGACCTGTGCCGAGAGAGTTCGAAAGGAGGCGGACAGATGAACGGTTTGGCCTGTTTGGAACTTTTGGGAAACGTTCCATATACACACACAAACTCCCACACTTCAAAGACCGAATCTGTTATCTATGCTTGGATAACACCAATAGGCTACCCTGTTCGCCCAAAATTGATAGCTAGGACATTGGTGGACATGAACAGGAGATGCGAAACATTCAAACTATAGTGACGGACTGAAACTTAGAATGCCGCCATGTTTCTTAAGATTTTTAACGGTGCCACTTAGAATGCCTTTTTTGGCCTCACTTAGAATGCCTCCATCGCTAAAACATTCAAACCTGCGAGCTGGACTTATGAGGCATTCTAAGTGCGCATGGTTATCGCCATATTTGGAGACCCTTTCAATATTTTTTTGGTCCAAGGCATTCTAAGTTTCAGTCCGTTGCTATTCGAGATATAGACTTAAACTCTTGATGGTATATAAAATTTATTATATAATCCCCTGTTCTGGTGTGAATATGCTAGTTGTTGTCCCCTAAATCGCATTTGTGAGTTTCAGGAGAAAGAAAAGGAGAAAGGAAAGGAGAAAGGAAAGGAGAAAGGAAAGGAGAAAGGAAAGGAGAAAGGAAAGGAGAAAGGAAAGGAGAAAGGAAAGGAGAAAAGAAAGGAGAAAGGAAAGGAGAAAAGAAAGGAGAAAGGAAAAAGGAAAGGAAAAAGGAAAGGAAAAAGGAAAGGAAAAAGGAAAGGAAAAAGGAAAGGAGAAAGGAAAGGAGAAAGGAAAGGAGAAAGGAAAGGAAAAAGGAAAGGAGAAAGGAAAGGAGAAAGGCAAGGAGAAAGGAAAGGATTGGTGTGGCATTCTAAGTGTTACAAATGTGAAGGAAAGCATAATTCATGTGGAAATCAGCAAAAATCATAAAACCATGCCCCCAAAACCCTTGGACGCATTCTATGTGTAACATTTTTGGCAGCATTCTAAGTGTAAAACCGTCTGGTTGAAAGGAAAGGAAAAAGGAAAGGAGAAAGGA